GCAGCAAGGACCAGCTGATGTTAGGCTGTTAAGCTATGAAGAAATAGAATGAAAGTACAGCATTAGGCTGTTCCTCAGCAAAGAAGATACAGCTATTTTAAGTATCAACTAAAGCTGCTTATTCACAGACTCCCTGTAAAATACGAGATGTCATAGATGAAATGTTTAAAATGGATGTTTAAGGAAGGCAGAAAACCAAACATTTACATAATCTTTAAATATTAATATTTGTAAATAATACCTGAACATCTGCTAGCTAGAACAAGGTCACTGACATGGACATAACTGCCTAGGGGTCATAACAAACAGTCTATTTTAGCTTATGGAGGCTACTTTGGACATCAGCAAAGCAAAAATCTTTGCCATTACCACTGTTACCACTGTGCTTGTCTCTAATGGGCTGAGAGCAGCCAAGACAACCATGCTTACTGGGCTGTTAATAACACAACTTATACAAAATTTGCTTGCTCACTTGCTCTTTACAAAGATACTTTTTCCTGAGAAACTCTTCACTTTCTCTAATGTTTTTCTTCCATTTCACCTTGCATAACCCCAGACTGCTCTGTCCAGTGGTCACAGCTGTGTTGGGCTGGCAGCTTGCTGACTGTCCCCTGAAGACCAGCAAGAGTCACTATGGCCACAATAAAGCAGCTAAAGACCTCATCCCCTTTTAGCTTAAAGTTTAGTAGTGAAGCTGTAGTCTGCTCCACCAAAAATGTTGAAGGTTAACAGCTGCCCATTATCCCACCAAGCTTTGGAACCATAATTTCTGAAGGATTTGGTTTCTTTATAGTCTAATGTCACTCACAATTTCCTTATTATTTATGTTTTCCAGAGATGAGTTGCCTTTCCCACCTGCACCATAACATCACAGGTCCAATGCAACACCATGAAGCTGGACTCTCTGTTAGACTGTGGTCCCTGAGCTCCTCCCAGAGAGCAGAGAGGGTCCTAGGGCAGCGACCAGCTACAGCCACATGTGTCCCACAGGCCGCTCTACTCCACCTCTGCAATACAAGAGCCTTTTTATCTTACACAGGTCAGACCACATCAGTTTGACTGACATTGCCACAGCAAAACCTGGAAGGACTCGCAGTGCATAGCAAATCATTGTGACTGCCTGACCAATAGCATTATAGAACAAATTACAAGGATTGCCTCTTACCAGACTTCTGTTTTCTTTCCTTTATACTTTTTTCCATCAGGCTTATCATCTGTCACTAAAAATACACTGCATAATTCTGCAGCTGTGCAAGAACCTGTAGCACCTGAGCTATCTCTGTGCATGTGAGTCATGCTTTCCAAGGCTGGAGCCTCAACAAAGCTGCTGCCATGTTTTGCCCCTTATCGCATGCAACTTCAGCATAACTTTGCTAATATCACACCTTTGTGCCAGGTAGCTCTTCAAGATAAGGAGGTTTTGAGCTAAAATTAAAGAAAGACCATGTTTTCCTTTATAGTTAAAGTCACCTTCTCTCTGAAGGCTGTTAGGGTATTTCTCAGTTATATAAATATTACTCCCAAGTTTTTAGGCTCTAGGAGTATCCTAATTATGCAATGGGACATAGTATGGGAAAACAAGACAAAATGGAGATTACAATGCAGTTACATTAGGAGTGGAAGACTAGCTGTGTAACTAGGTGTGTCTATTCAGTGTGAAGTGTGCACAGAGGTGTTCCTCATGGGCTCTGTGACACTGACAAAAATAGTAAAAATTTGGTCTGTTTACAGAAATACGGTACAGTGGTGACACTGGACATCAAAACTTGAACCATCAGCAAAACAGAACAAAACCCCTCTGCTTCCCCAAAAAGCACAGGTGTCATGCCCTGACATACATCCATCTAGGAAAAAAAATAAAATCACAGTGGCTCCCCAGCTATCTCTAACTGAATCAAGTCCAAATCTCCTCCCAGAGAAGCATTGCCATGCCACCCCATCAGAGCCAGGAGCAGGTCTTTTGGCCTGAGTGGTGACACTAAGGACAGAGTGGTGCTTCCAGTCTGTCCGCATCAGGCACTCAGAAGTCATCAGCCAAACTGCAACAACTGATTGTGACTTAGAAAAAAAAATAAAATCTGAAAACTCAATATGGCACCCAAATCTTCAATGACTTGGGGGATTTTTGAGGCACATGCTCTGAGGCTTTTCTCTGCTTCCTAGAAGACTAGTGAGATTCCCTCTCTGATGCTGACACTGTTTTCTGCCTGCTGAAGGGAAAGCCTGACCCCTTCCCTTTGGGACCAGCAGAGTTTGTCACTGACTTCACTGGCTGGGAAAACCACATACTGTTAAAACCAGCTCTATTCAAAACTGAGTCTAAGGATCCCATAGCTGCACTCCCTCTGAGTTGGCTATTTTTCTCTGTTTGTTCTATACCCTTGCATTTTAGTATGATGAAATACAGCCTGGACGGCCACCCTCAGTGAGACTGGTTTGGTGGTGACAGCTGTCTCATGAGCTTTTGGGATTCTCCTCATTCCCACTGCTGTAATTTCCAAGCCATGCATGGTTCTGTCCACTCAGTACCTGCAACTGCATATGATGCATACTGTATCTGTACTCGGGGCCACCAGCCTGGGGTCCTCTGTGCTTTCAAATCCGAGCCTGCCTCTGCACTTTGCTTCTCCCCTCTTGCTTGCTTCAGGAGAGCTGCTGGAACTAGCACTCTGACTTCCACCATGTGATCAGGGGCAAACAGGAATGATCTCCAGCACCAGAAACACTGTCTTGTCTTCTCTTCTTTGAAGGAAAAGGAAGAAATCCAGCACAGGCAACAGCTTTGCAATGAGGAGTGAAGATGGTAATCAGAGGAAAATGTATTTGCAGCCAGATTATTATATGATAGTCATTCCTATCTGAATGTAGGAGAAGAATAAAGCCAAGAAAAAGTTACTGTTCCAGAAGGAACCATAGGAGCTTTACACATATGTCTCTTACAAGGTTTTGGGGAGGGAAGAGGAGAAGGAAGGAGGATCTACAGGATGGGAAGCAGGGGGAACCCTAGGAGCCTATAGCAGGACAAGGCATATCTGGTATTTAGGGAGAAATGTACACATTACTGAACTCACTTAACAGAGAATGATATCTTCTTCTCAGAGTCTAGTCTTCTTTTAGGAAAGGTGAAGCATACCAAATTGGCAATCCATCTTCATGTGTGTCAAACCATCTGCAACCTCCTACCCCCCTTCAGAAGAAACATGCAACCTGCTGACACAAACCCATGATAAAGCAGTGCTGTGCTGGGCAAGACACCTGGGATGGCACATGATCACTAACATCTATGATGGAACAGCGTGCCAACAAAGTAATGCCAGACCAAATCAGTGGGGTATCCAGCCAATACATCACAGATCCAGGCTTTGCAGACAGTAGCAGGTACTGCCTGAAATGAGAGATGTGCTTGAGAAGATCAGAAGAATGAAAAAGAGAAGCCTAAAAAGTCAGGTAAAGAAAACTAAGACCAATAAATAAAAAAGTAAATGGGACATCGAGCCAACGAGAAGGCTGACTGGACAAACCCAACAGTGACTGTCTCCCGCTGGAGCCAAGAGGATGTAGATTAGTCTGTGAAACCAATTTCACAGTTCCTTGGTCTTTTTTATCTTTCAGAGGTCATATTCCTTCCCAATTCTACCCTGTTGAAAGGCTTACTTTCCACAAGAAGCAACCTGGCAGGAGAATAAATACCAGTAAGCCATAATCTTCCTCTCCCTAACTAGAGGGTGGAGCAGCAGTATCACTCTCAAAGAGATACCCATCTGGGACAAGTGAGGGACCTGAAGGCAGCTCATTCAGCATCACTTTTACAGATGATTCAAAAAGGAGCAGACATGTCCGAGTGCCTCCAGAGCCAGATCCCAGACTTCAGCCCTGAGCTTCAGCTGCACACCTGGGCTTGTCAGATGTGCTGACACCAACCCCAGGGAGATTTGCCTGTGTTACATTCAGAGGATAATTTAAGGCAAACTATTCAACCCTAGAAATAGCAGATCAAGTTTACTGCTGGTGATCAAAAGAATTACCTCGAACAGGCAGGATGGATGGCAACCTGTTAGCAAATTACAGTGTGGGGGGAAAAAACACTGGTGATGACACATTTTGGACTCTGGAGTTTGGAAAAATACAAATTGTGAGCAATACAAATACAAATGGGGACAGCACTGTGCTGTCAGATCAGCTACTCCAGGAAAGGGCAGGTCTGAGAAGCTCTGTTCTATGGACTAGGTACATCACACAAAACACTCATGTGACCCACTGGAAAGGGAGATGCTGCACATCACCCTAGAACTCTGACTGACAAAGGATTCAGTATTAGTCATTTAGCGAAAGCTGCAGAAAACACTGTCCTTAGTTATGGAGAGGCTTGGTTATTGATCTACTCAGAAGAATGATTTCCATACTGGTATACCAGCACATTTTTTATTCAGGTACTCTCTTGCCTCTGCAGTAATGACCCTAGAAAGACCAGGCAGACACATTCCTGTAACTGGGTATGACAGAACGCAGAAGTGAAGATGATGGTGGCCTCCTCTTCTGCTCTTTTGGTTGCTTTAGAGAGTTTGAGACAAGATTTTACCTGGACAAAAATACTCCATTTTAAGGATGTGATCCACCTAATGAATTTTTCACTTTGCAATTTGATCACGTCAGCTTAAGGCTCAGTGCAACTTCACAGCTACAAGCGAACATTAACACCTGCATCTTGTTCATCTTCTCAACAGTGAAATACTTAATGGGAGGGTTCATCCTGAGCTCTGGGGTACACTAGCCAAAAAAGAGCCAATTTCAGAAATAGGAAGGAGTGTAGGAGCTGTACAGAGGACTATGAGGTGAGGCTGAGGCCCCTCTGAATTGCCTCAAATATCTCCTGAAGTCACCCAAGTCCTTTCCCTTCACACTGGTGCATCTGGCCAGAGGCTATTTTTTTTAATTACATGATTAATTAGATAATTTTAAATTAGATGAGCATGAAATCAAGGGAACCATTTTATTCTCACCTCCAAAAGCCGGTCGCATGGTGAAGTCATGGTTGTTGACTCTCAGAAGCTGCTCTGTCTTTCCTTTCCAGATTTTGGTCACGTCATGATTCTTCTTATAGCTGCGACTGCAACAGACAGCAATAGTGTTGGTCTGCCATCCCTGCGGCACTCTGCGAACGACTTCTGCAGGCCCAATTTCAGAGCCCTGGGAGTGACAGCCTGGTGGGCTCAGCCCCATGGAGGGAAGTGTGGTTGCTGCCAGCACCACAGCATAGGCCAGCACAGCAGCCCCAGCACTGCTTCTCCACAGCATTAACTCAGACCTGGCCCCTGCTGCGGGCAGTCCTGATGGCTCAGCCAGATCCAAGGTGGACATGATGCTCTTTCCACTCTGCACACCACAGCTTCCGGGGAGATACCAGACCGAGAGCACAGAATCTCACAGAGGAACCAGGATGCAGCAAACATGATGGAGTGAGCAACAGTAGAAGCAGCGGACTCTGCCCCACACCTTATCCAGCCAGGACTTGGATGGTTACCAAGGCAACATTATCACAAGAAAGCTCTTTTAGACAGTGGACACACAATGTGATATGCTATTCTGAGACTGCCCCACAAACATCAGTTGAGTACCAGCAGTTTGTGTGAACAGAGGGCTCACTTTGCCTTTTGAACTTAACAATGACAAAAGCATACTTTTCCCTCCACAGCAGTTGGAAAAGAGGCGGTTTTTCTAAAGAAGTCTGCAAGATCTGCAATCCTTCACTTTTCTGAATATTAAGGGGGGGAAAAGCCTAACTTTTTATTTGAGAGATCATACAACAGTAGAACAAGAATGACAACAAACCCCTGAGAAAAGTCACTAAATGACATGTGTAACTAAACAGCAGAGAGATACTGCATGCTCTTTCAGAAGAAAATGCAGATCAGCATCCCTGGTGTTCTCCAGCAGTGCAGGAAGAAGTTGGACCATGAAGATTCCTCAATCCCTTGGCTCTTGGCATAAGATCTGACAAATTTGTAAATACTGCTGCAATTAGCTGCTTGTCAGCAACTTACTAAAAGAAATAATAATAAATAGAAGGATCTTTATACAAAATGGTTGAGATTCATTTGCCTGTGTGGAAGAAATATTACTGGTCAGTAAAGAATAAAAATCTTGGAGGAAAAATAAAAGGACTATTCTAATAAATACAAATATGAGGATGAATAAGGCTTAAAATCTTGGTCACAAATTCAGAGTTTAGAAAACCATCACCACATGCAGAAATGTGGCTATGGAAGGGTCATGGATGTGCCTTAAGGTCATTAAAATACAAATCATTATGAGTATGAGTAATGGGAGCATGAATCGCAAATCAGAAGAGAAGTGTCAATTCAGTTCAGAAAAATGGTAAAACTCAAGGGGCATTGGTAGCTGCTGCTAACACTGATAACCTATTTACTTTAATAAGGAGGTGAAAAAAAAGCAACAGAATTAAAATATTTGTATTAAATGGATGTTTTTAAGGAATATAAGTCCTTGTGCTCCAGGGCACATGCTACATAGCAAAATTTTGAGTCGCCTCACTTTGGGCTCCTGTTTACATGGGCATGTCAGAGCATCTCTCTCCCTGCTGGCTGTAAAAAAGGAGCCACCTGGAGAAAGTACACTCCCAACACGGCTGCATTAATGTTTACCTGAAACCAGGGGGATAAACCCAAGCACAGCCATTAATGGCAATGATTGGAGGCAAAAGTTTAGCTTTTAACTGCTTGCTGCAGCAGAAGGTTGTGTTTCTTTGCAAAGGTTAGGGCTGCTGACAAAGCGTTCCACTTCGCAGTCTGCAGTATTGCCTCTGCTCCTGAAAAGTTGGAAGCGGAGAAGAATGATCTTCCCGTGTCTGCTTGACTTTAACCATCAGGAAAATGCCTAAGTACCAGTGAATGTTCAATCAAACCTGTCTACTTAAAGAATGGATGAAAAAAAATCAAATTAAAAATCCAGTAAAACTTTGGATTACATGCTGTATGAGGAAATAGTATGGAAAACCCTGATGGTATTACAATGCAATCTGTAAACTGATGGCACAGCCTTACTGAAATGCCAAGCTCTGATCAGTTCATTTAAAAATCAAGCAGCAAATAGCACACAAGAGAGTTGTTAAGAACAAATCTGGGGCTGCAGAGGCTTCAGAGGGCTGAAGAAGAAAAAAGAGATTTTTCAGGAACTTCCCGAGCCAAGGGTTGCATTTAATAGCTGGCATTTAATCATCAGTTCATGCCCAATCCTTCAGGTACATGACAGATGATTCAGAATTTACAGAGGTCTGTCATTTAATTTTTAATCAATTTAATCCATTCACAAAGATTTTGTGTAGAGCCATTTTTAATGACAAGCAATCTACACAGCCTTTGAAATGTATAATAACTATTTTTGTCAATGTAATTCAAAAGCAAGACAAATTAAAAAAAAAAACCCAAACATTCCTTATAACAGTGAGTGGTCAGTTATGCTGGTATTGTCTGATCCTCTCCGACAGGTATCCCCTGGCACCCCCACACTGTCTGGCATAGGAAGTATCTCACTATTTGCAGCAAAGGTGAATAACACAAGAACAAAGCTGCCAGAGCCTTTGCAGAGCTGAAGGATGCGCTGAACACTCCTGTCCATCAGGTGCCTTTACGGACAATCTGATCACTGGTATGTCATAAATCCTCCCTGATGTACTTACAGTCTTTAGCACTTCTGATTATAGATTTGTCACGGTTTCTTTCAGCTTTATGCACTCTCTGCAATTCACCACCATTCATTTAAATCCACTCATCTCCCTTTCTCTTTTTTGTCATGTTTTCTTTTATTTTTATTGCTGTTTACGCTTCACTCAAGGGGGATGAGTTTGATAAAACTGCCTTTTGTGAGGACATGTTCCTGTTAACAGAAAAGAGAAGGGGACAAGTATCTCATTGAACTTCTGTAAAGGCTTCTCCATTATTGCCCTTTTTTTTTTTTTTTTTTAATTTTCCTTTCCAGTCACTTTTATTCAGAATTGTTCTCAATTGCATAAAATACATCCTTTTTACATTGCCAAATAGATCAAAGAAAATTAAATTTGGGTAGCATGAGAAATCAGGTAACAGCTCAGCAGGACTCAAAAAAGCATCAGGTATCTATTCAGATATTTGGACCTTTCTATACCAATAATAAGAAAAAACCCTGGAAACAGTCCTCATGTTGTAGGGTGTAAGGCAACAGCTAAGTGATAAGCCTGAAAGGAAATGTGATCTCCATATGGAGCATGGTCCAGCTGCCATTAGCCAGGGTCCACCAGGGTCCAGAACATTTCTGCACCTCCCTCTGGAGAGTTCAGCATTGACTTTGGTCACAACAGGATGGTCATGGGACAGTGGCTCCAATTATCTGATTTCCTATCAGGATCCAGAAAATATTCCTACAGTTTCAGTGAAAATCTTCATAGAATTGTCTGAGTTGAAAGGGATCTTAAAGTTCATCTAGTTCCAAGCCCCTGCCACGGGCAGGGACACCTTCCACTAGACCAGGTTGCTCAAAGCCCCGTCCAACCCGGCCTTGAACACTGCCAGGGAGGGGGCAGCCACAGCTTCTCTGGGCAACCTGTGCCAATGTCTCACCAACCTCACAGTAAAGAATTTCTTCCTTAGATCTAATCTAAATCTACCCTCTTTCAGTTTAAAACTGTTACCCCTCATCCTATCACTACACTCCCTGATAAACGAGTGCCTCCCCATCTTTCCTGTAGCCCCCTTAAGGTCCTGGAAGGCTGCTGTAAGGTGTCCCTGGATCCTTCTCCAGGCTGAACAACCCCAACTCTCTCAGCCTGTCCTCAAAGGGGAGATGCTCCAGCCCCCTGATCATCTTCGTGGCCTCCTCTGGACCCACTCCAACAGGTCCATGTCCTTCTTATATTGGGGGCCCCAGAGTTGGACACAGTACTGCAGGTGGGGTCTCATGAGAGTGGAGGGGGAAAATCATCTCCCTCAACCTGCTGGCCACACTTCTCTTGATGCAGCCTGGGATACAGCTGGCTTTCTTGGCTCTGAGTGCACATTGCTGGTTCATATTCAGTTTTCCATCCACTAATACCTGTAAATCCTTCTCCTCAGGGCTGCTCTCAATCCCCTCATTGCCCAGCCTATATCTGTGCTTGGGATTGCCCCAACCCATGTGCAGGACCTTGCTGAACTTGATGAGGTTTGCACAGGCCACCTCTCCAGCCTGTCCAGGTCCCTCTGGATGACATCCCTTCCCTCCAGTCTGTCGACTGCACCACACAGACTGGTGTCATCAGCAAACCCGTTGAGGGTGCACTCAATCCCACTGTCCATGCCTCCAACAAGGATGTTAAACAGCAATCAAAATCTTACCATGCTTCAGTATATTCTCTGAGAAAAAAACAGTTGAAAGTGTCATTTACTTTGTGTAGCAGCCACAGCAAGCTGGAGATGCACACTATGTAAACCTAGCACCAAGAAAGGTACCAAACCTACTGGTTTTCTAACCAGCAAAGCATACAACTGCTGAAAGACCCCCTAGAGGATAAGTGAAAAAGAGAAGGTACAGTATCAGCTTATGACTGCCACAAATATTAACTCACCTCTAGATGAGTATTCCAAATTCATTATCTTCATTATGTATCCCACATAGATGCATATCTTTAATAATAATGTGCATGGATCACATGGGATCAGATATGGTCAAGAACTTTCTGACAAGCTGGGAACCTCAAGGTCCTAAATTTTGTGAAGGTCTCCTTCCATCACCTGTCAGGGCCATCAATTCAAGGGCTTGATGGGTCCCAGCTGCCCAAGAGGCCCCGGTAGCTCCATAACAAGGCAGGTCTATACTGGTTTACATGGATGGCCCCACCAGCCCCTTTTATTTTCAGAGCTGCAGGGGAGAGGGACTCTGTTGCCCTACGTCTGGATGTAACATGCTCCACAACAACATGTCTGTGGGTTTATGCCTGCAGGAGGAAGTAAAGGAAAATTATTTTCCTTGCCAGATTTCTAGAAAAAAAGCTAAATCAGACTCTGGAAAATAACGGCCACAAATTCAGAGGATGTACACAATCACTATTATCATACACATTAGGAATCTTTCATGGTCACATGCTCAACACACCTTATCATCTGTTGCTTAGGACCCTCCATTTTTGCTTGGTTTTATAAAGTATGGGTTTTAACCTCGAAAAAACCCCAAACCTGTTCCAGGGTTGTTCGTGTTTTCAGCTTATTAAAAATGAATGCAGAATACATTTTTCTTCACAGAGATACATGAAACCTCTTTTCTACCAAGCATATCCCAAACCCTGCACTCCTTGCCTCTTCCTACATCCATCCAGCCCAAAGCCAACAACAGTAACATAAGCAGATGGCAACAGGTCTAGTGAAGGGACCCAGAGGTGGCTGTTCTGCTTGAAGAGGCAAGAGGAGGCACAGCTGCTGACAAGACAGCACTGGATGCCTGCGGGCTGGTGAGGAAGCAGCGCTGAGGCTCTGAACATCTCAGTCTACATGGACAACTACACAGCTACTACAAAGTCAGAAGGGGCAACATTAGCAACAGCAGAGAAGTCCTAATAGTAAACACGAAGACATGGAGCACACAGCCAAAATAAAGCAGGAGCTTTTCTTCTCGAATCTGCTGTAGCCATTTGAGTGTGTGCATGCCTCTCTCTGATTTTGTTTCACATTGCTACTCGGCCCTGCTGTGACGCTGCAGTGTTGGTGGAAGAAAAACCTCAGGAGACATCAGACCTTGCACAACTAGAAGCTGTGCAATGCCCTGGACTTGAACCCCAGGCATGCAACTTCGAAACACCCCATTTTCTGGAAAAGCACCATATAGCTGAGAGGATCAGTAGGGGCTAGGAGGAACTACAGGCCAGAAGACATGTCTGCAGCACCTGGTTCAAAGTTGGGGAAAAAAACGCAGCCCTTCAAGGCATGGAGGGAGCACACCTTGCCGGCCACAGCCATTTCAGCAGGGATAAGCAGACTACTTGCCCCAGCAGACCTCTGTGTGGAAAAACAATCCCTGTGATAAGCCTTGTGCTGCCATGTCCTGATGCTTCACTTCTGTTTCCAGGTCCCAGCCTAAGGCTGGCACGTTGCATGTCCTGAAAATTACACCCCCTGTGAGATACTCCAAATGACTGACCACTTCCAAAAACCTTGGCAGGAAGTCTTTAGCCAACGGAAGCTCAAAGCCGCTTCTGTTTCAAAAGCACAGTGTTTCTGCTGGCTGAAGCACGAGGCTTTGCACAACTGTTAGGAGGGAGGAACAAGCAAACTCGAAGCCAGACTGTGTCTGTCTGCCCAGTGCAGAGGCCATTGGAAAGACAGAATTCCCAGGCACAACCAAGATGGCAAATGTCTCCTGAAGCCTCTCTTCTAGGACAGTTTATGCAGACCAATAAACATTACCAGAGGCATTATCAGCAGTTTTTATAGAGCAATAAATACTAACAAAAGCACTATTTTTCAGTTTCTCTGTGTGGAAATTCTGTCCAGATGGATAGTCTAGGAGGACTACCAGCATTTGTTTGCGATTTCTGAGATGCAGCCACCACAGAGCTACTGAAGAGTCCCCCAGACTGTTTCCAATCCAGTGCTGGACATGCCAACAGCACTTGCCTGGCTCTTACAGCAAGGCCCAAGGAAGCTACAAGCACACATATACGTGCACTGTACAGTCAGAACTACACATTGCAAGTCTGACATGGCCCCATCCGACACATACACCTGCACCTGTCCACATTTACACCATCTCCTTCAGCACCAAAGTCTTTACCTTCTCTCTGGAAATTTATTCCCTGGTGTGTAGGCAACACTGGGGCCAACATCCCCTCCCCAGCAATCACCCGGGTGACACCGACAGGTTTTACTTTGCAGTTCATTTTATCACTTGATTTCTTTAAAACAGAATGAAATGCAAAAATTTTAAACCAATTCTCCTATTAGTTATGACCCCTTGGTTTCGTGCACCATTTGCCAGCTTGTATTTTAGCAAAAAGGCTCTCAACTTCACACAAAGAGGTGTCACTGAATCCCTTCACCCAGTTTTGTAAGATAAGAGACAAAGCCAGAAGCTGCTACTCCATGAGCACACATTCCTAAGCAAATCCCCGTCCCTCCAGAGTATAACGGGAAGCTGCTTCAGGCCACGTTCAGGGCACTGCTGCACAAAGGCAGTTGATTCTTTAAGTCATACCTCTGTTTTGTAGAAGAGTTGCATTATCAGTGAGGTGGGGGGTGCCAGAGTAAGGGAGTATGAAACACGACACAGTTTCTAATTAAGCAAGTGTTATCCATTCAGCATGCTGAGTGAGATACCAGTCACAGAAAAAACAATCCATTACAGTTCACTAACATAACATAAGGGGAGTAATCAGGGATGCACAGGCAACTCTTAACCTGGCATTTCTTAATTTGGGTTCCCAACTCCACAGACCTAACCTGGCTTGAAATCAACATAAAGGTCTTTACATCAGGTTGATATATCATCTTAAGGGACACAAACTATCAAACTTATCAATTGTAAATTCCCAAACATAGCAATAATTTTTTTTGGCTAATACATTTACTGTAAAATTTACTGTATTTCTTATGGTAAGTCAGCAAGAGAAATACTGAGTAGAAAATGCAATGAAATTATTAAAGGACACTGTTTTCATTCCTCTCACATCCAGCATAGGAACTGGTTTTAATTTTGTTTTACTAGAAGAGTCCACTATTCATTGCTGGTTTAGAAACAACTATATTTTTTCTATGTAACTGGAAATTTAAAATATCAATGTTACTGCTCCATACATTTTTTTTTAAATATTGCAGAATTCTCTGTATTTAAAATGTCATTCACATTTGACAGTCCCTAAACTTTGATTTTATATACTTTTAAATAAGTACATTGCATAGGAAATGTGTATGTGTGTATATATATATATATATATATATATGATGTATAGTTTCTCAGGTTCTACCTGGCTAGAAAACTGTTCATTAAAATCATTATTTCACAGGAAACCAAATAGTATCAGTTATTCCTTACAGTAAATTCGTTTGGATAAATAATTTTGTGCTTTGACTTCCATTTTATCACAGCTTCACAAAAATAACAGCACTGTAGTAACTGTAAGTTACTTTTACAATGCTTAAATGTTAAGTACAAAATATTCAAACAACTTTTAACCCAGAGAAGGGTACTACTTTTGGGCAAAGTCATGTTTATTAAAAGAAGAACTTACATTACTTTGTCACTTCAAAGCTGATGATCTCTCCTACACGTGAATGCTTTGCAAGAAAATGCCACTGTTGAATGCCCTTCATTTCCCAGAACATGGACTTGGAAAAATTTTCACAAATAAATGAAAGATCTCATTCAGTAACAGAGATTCTGTGGCAATTAGTGGTAAAACTTCAGCTAGATTTAGGATGTCAGGATCAGGCTCTAGCTGTTTCAGCTTTATAACATTTACGTCACTAAAAGCATATGCTGCTATATTTTTTCCGTAAGTAGTATAAATCTGAGAGCAGATTAGGTATTCTTTGCTTTCATCACATTTCTTTGTGAAACATTCCAAGTAACAACACTCCCTATAAGTGTTGAGTGTCAAACCAAGAAAACCCAATAGAATAAATGAAAATATGAAGGTTTACAGCCATAATGAAGCAGTTTGATGGATTACCCCAATTTTATTTTTGAGCTCTTCGAACAATAAACAGTCTTGTAAGATATAATTGCCACTGGATGACATAACTACAAGAAAGGATAACATACTTTGGACTGTCTGACAGGTTTGGAAGATTATCTTTTCTAATGTAAACCTCCGGTCAAATCTCAGCAACAGTAAATCTAATAAACTTTACTAAGACCTTTAACTCTTTCTTGTACCTTTGCTTGACTTTAAAATATGTGGGTTTTTTTAAAGTTTACATTTATTTCTTCAAAACATACTTCTAATTTTACAGTTCCTGAGTAACTTCCAGGGATTTATTTGTTATTGATTAGTATAACACATGCTAACCAACAGCCCCACCTCAAATTGTCAGAGAATAACATGGAATTTCAGGTGAACGTAAGTAGCACAGACATTCCAGCAAGCACAGTAAATGACCTGCTCTTGAAACAGTGCTGAAACAGTATGTATATTTGAACATCTCTATTAACTGCAACTTTCTCTGAATTCTCTCAGTAATTCAGATATAGGGCTAAGAGTATTTTAACCACAGTCTATGCTGAAGTGGTCAACTTCTCTGCAAAACTGGCTCATTAAGAGTTAATTAACATTAGTATTAAATGTGTCCATTTACAGTTAAAACCAATTATACTGTCAGAAACTATTATAAAAACATTATGTATAAAGCTCTTTGCACATACAATATACACAAAGACAGTGACAGGGCAGATTTTTATGTCTATGTAGTAATGTATTTGTAACACTCCAGGAAAAAAAAAAAAGTATGTGCTTTAATAACCCTTACCTTGCCCTCTGCACCTCCAGCTGGCCTGTCCACCTCCTCCTCCTGTGCTTTCTGCTTTCCACAAGAAGAACTAAGAAAAAGATTAATAAAAGGAGCTTTGCAAAATAAGGCATCTTGCTGGAAATAAGAGTTGGGCACTCTGCACTCCAGTAACCTCCTGCAGTACAAGTGCCCTCGGGTTTACACATTGAATCAACTCTAATTCCAGTGACGCGTGTTCGTCCGCGATCGGTACTAGGAATGCTGCTTCCCCGACGTGATGTTTTCGACAGGCTTTCAGGGGCTTCCCACTCCAAGATTCTCCCTCATCACCGCTCAGTGATTGGCCATTACTCATGAAGTTTGCCTCACCAAACATTTCCACTGGGTCCTAAAGGATATTTACTAAAGCCATTATATAAAAACTCTCAATTCTGCACACTGGCTTTTTGCTCAATCCTCTAATCTGAGGACAGTTCTAGCCTTCTGTCAGACTGTGTAAAAAAGGGCTGTCCCTTTTCATTAGGCTTTCCAGATTTTCTGGTCCTTCACATGGCACCTTTTTCAACTGGAAACTGCCTGTGCCATGTTTCAGACACATATATCATTGTAAAATGTACATATTTTCATGGGTTTATAGCAGTTGAGATTTTATTTTGCAGTTTAGACTGGCTCTTTATGCTGTTGGAAGATAAAGGATGAGCTATTTCCTTCAAAATTTCTTACTGTTAACTTTTAAAGGAAAATTAAACCCAGTAACCCCCAAAGTATCTACAAATGCAATAGACTCTGTACATCAATCAAGTCACCATTAATATTTATTTTTTCAAATAGCTATTTGCACAATCAGGCATTTTAACTTTTATTTTAAAAGTCTGAAATAAAAATTAAAAGCTACAAAGCAGCTATTTCTTTAATCACAAGGAAGAGGCTGTTTTCAGAAACCATTTTAAGCTCATTTTGTCACCGCCCATTCAAAGGGCAACACAGACTGCCTCTTTGCAGAAGACATAGCTGCTTTACTCATAGCCAGTGTGTGGTACAGGTACGAGAGCAACAGTTTGCTTGGTGCAGCAGTGAGGGTCAAGGTAAAGCGAAGCACATTCAGAGCAAAACTTCCAGAGAAGCAAGTGGGTCAAAACCCAGCAAAAAGGTCTTTTGTGTCAGACCTCTTCCAGAACCCTCTTCTATGAGCCCAGGTTTGCAAGACTTGAATAGAACAGGTATTCAAGCAACATAAACTAGGAAATGTAGTACTTTTCTTTTAGAGGCTACACAATCTGGAGAGGTTTTGGGGGGGGGGTTGGTGTGGCGTTTTTTCAGGTGTAGTTTTTTTTAAAAAATTATAATGAAATGAATATGCAAATTAGGTAAAACATATCAATTAATATACTGACATCAAATAGTTCTGCAGCAGAATATGTAAGCAACTGCTGAACCTGCTGAACAAACTGTATGCTTTTGTCCGAACTTCTTAAGAAAAGTGGTTTTTGATCTTTGTTCCATAGTACCTGCAAACAAGATTATCAGCAATCCACAAGAAGTGCTAAAAATGGACTCAGGTTTTGTTGTTTGTAATTTCCACATTCCCCTTAGACACACAAAGGGCTTTCCTTAATTTCTAAGTTGTTGTAGCTACTTTAATGTTTTAAAACACTAATATCTAATACATTTAACAAAATTTAGGAACACTGTATGTAGCTTGATAAATACTTGCTGAGAAACAGGATGGCTCACTTAAGTTAGTGCTATCATGTTTGACAGCAACAAAATGAAAGTTAGCTATATCTCATTGTCTTTGAAATAAATATGCTAGAATACATTTAAATCTGAACAATAATACAAGAGGAAAATTATCCCACTGACTGCTTTCTTCTACTTCACTGTAATACTTAAACATTCACATAAAAAAACTCTCAAAACCTTAACACCTGTAGGGCTATTGCTTGTATATGTGACTTCACAGCATTCATGACTATAACCAGTTATTTTTTGAATAAACGAATAATACAGAAAACCTCTGAGTCCAATATTGATTCTAGGTTTAAAAAACCCATGGAAACAAAAAAAAACCCAAACCACAAACAAAAACCCAAAAAGGCCATGTGATACTTGAAACATAACCAAAGACTGGTTTGAAACTGTTTATTACTACTAGGGTTTTAATAAATATTTCTCTTAAGCATGTTTATATATATGACAGTTTAAGTATAATAAGGTTTAAATTTTCTTTAGTAAATAAAACCACATATGAAACTTTCAATTCAACACATTATGTATATTTCTGGTATAATTAAAAGACAATAGCTCTGGGTAAATAATTATATTACATATTTATAATTATTGCAAGAATAGACATGTTTTATATAATCTTCAAATTTAAAAAAACCCAAGATATACAATTAGAGTATTAGAAGAGGACATTCAAATCTTGCAGAAGATTATCCAATCTTTCTTCCAAAAACTAAAAATCAAAATAATGCAAGTAGTTTTCTGGCCCCTTCTTTCTTCCCCTGCTCCTTTCCCACTTTCACACACACAAAGCAGCATCACAACCAATTTATATATGTTCCCCCTCTAGAAATGTGTCATGGCAAATAAAAGTGGTTACAAAATGTATTCCCTCTAAATTAAGAGTTCACTGGACACAAACACATAGTAGTGTTTCATTTTATAATCCCTTCTCCAACGTCAAATCTTGTACTAACATAGACAGGGCAATTAACTGCATTTATGTTCCATAAAAAAGTGAATCAACCACTTTTTTTAAATTGTCTTTATCTAGTTGATAGATTACTCACACTGACTCCGCTCCCACACGCCTTAATGTTACTACTCCACTGCACTGTTTCTCCAAGTTTCTAGTGCACCACCAATTAATACTTGTAGTTAAATGTCCAACTTTGCTTTTCTTACAAGTAATGCAACTGTAGATACATTAACATTCATAAGGATTTAAGCGTAAATACAAAAAAAGTAACCTTTGTAAACAGTTCTCATGTCATACCCAATACAGAATGTTCAAGGAAGCATTCAAGTCACTGCTGTTACGACAACCAACCTTATAACTCAAATATATACTCATTAGCCAAATATATTCTACGAAATATAAGAACTGCCAATGCAAAAGTCAGAAGGACAATCAAAACAGTTGATCCAGTGTGGTTCGTGTTGACTCTTGGTTGTTGTACCCGATTAAATTCAGTTGAAGATGGAGCCCGTCTCTGACTCTGCTGCTGGGCACGGCGCTGCCGAGGACTCATAGACGTGTTAGTGGACACGGGTGGAGCATGCTCTTGACTGGCCACTGCACTGCTATTCTGAGTTTCAGACTAAAAAGGAAAGATGGAACATCGTGAGGCAAGACCATGCATAAAACTAGCACATAATAAAACAATTAGGAGTAAAATGTACTCTTCAGATAATTGTTAATACCTGAAATCCTGATAATACATGTCACTAGTAATTATGAAATTGTTATAGCCATCATTTTTGTCCATACACTATCTTAAGAAGTCTATTTCAAACTGCAAATTAGCTGTTCTAAGGACAAGAAAAGTCTGAGAAACAATATTTGAATTCTAGATTGGTTCCAAATCAAGAGATTTCAAATACCTTTGTCTAGGATTTGCTTAATTCTTTGCAGTTCAAGATATCTTTAATAATCCTCCAGACAGTTAAGTCTCTGAGGATTTGTAATGTTACCTATGCTGAAGGGGAAACAAGTTGGGGAAGGCAAGAAAGGAACGAGTCCTGAGAACTAAGTAAGCAATCCTGCACTGCTTCCTGTGGACAGCTGGGCCTAAAACTCTGTTCTCAGCACCACCACCTACACTGAAAAATAAATATTAAAAATCCTGAACACAAAACACCTAAGTGATTCCAGCACGAATCACTGAGCACTGTACTTATGCATGCACATACCTATTGCCCTCTACTGGTTAAATGTTGGTCTACCGCTATATGCAGTAAGAAAATAAACATTAGCAATTGATGTTCCAGCTCAGGAGAGTATTATTCTAAAGAAAGTAATTTTTCAGTTTGTAAGATTGAAACTATGGGTTCTGATATTCCACTGGCCTAATCCTGCTTGCAATACTAAAAGGCTCAAACTTCCAATGTTTTAAAATTAAAAACAGTGACTCAGCAGTTGAGGGAAGTAAGCATTTTGACAAGGTTCAATTTTAACGTGTTTTTAAAAAAAAGTAGCTCTGAGAAGTAGCTTTGAAGGTCTTTTCACTTCTCACAACAGTTTGCAGGTATTCCCACTGAAAGCAACCTGCTGCTATTTTCCAGATCAAGCTTTCTCCCTCCTCCTTTCTTCTGAAAGATTATCATTACAGCAGGTAAAATTAGAATTCTGGACATTTTATATTTGCTTCCAAGCAAAAGGCTTTTAACAAACACAATATCCACAACACTAAGCACTGTTTCGGCCAGCTACTATACCCACAAACGATATCCTCTCCACACGGCCAGGTAGGGAATGTCCTCAACTGTGTATCAGGTCTGACGATCCACAAGACAGTAAGTAGCACTTGGTCCTGTGACTCTGGCCACATACTCTGCATGTAGGAGAAGAATTTCAAATTTTCACCTAGTTAGAGATTTGACTAGCCCAGGAAGAGATCCGCCTTTCCTACCTCCTCATCATTAGTATTTCCCACTGTTTATTATCAGCAAGGAAGTACTGATGTAATTACTCATCACAGGTTCCTTGCCTAAGCAGGAAAGCAGCTTGAAAAATATTTTTAAAAGATTTCTTTTATCAGCAGAGACAGCCAAGAACATGAGCAGCTTGCCATGATTTCCACAACAGTGCAGAAGAAAGTAATTCTGCTTCATACTGAGCCCACATGAAAGCTCCTTGTGTCAAGGAAAATAAAGACTTAAGGAAGCCGAGCCACTGAAAAATTAAGTTTCTAGGTTCATCTACACTCTCATCTTTCAGAAGGGGAGAGAAGGAGAAGTGAATTCAGGAAGAAAGAACTGCAAATTCAGAAGGCAAAGTGTTGCTCTTCTTAAAGTAGTTTTCAATAAAGGAATTCAAAAACTAAGTCTAGAAATATTCCTGATCCTTCATACTTACTAACAACAGTAACTACCACTGGCTGTCACACACTTGGGTTTCCTCTCAACACTGCCAATTTTTAATTTAAAAATAAAACAGAAAGGTCCTGTTCTGAATGAGACAACATGCCATACACTGACATGAACAGAGCTGTGATTCAAGAGAAATCTTGCTGACAATTGCAAAGCTTTAAATTATTTTTTGGAGGAAATTATATAGATGCATCAGGGCAGAAAAAGACTGACTGCTTAATCCAAAACTAAGCTAACCCACTGCCTTGGGATTCCCAGCATAATCAATGGCCAAGTATCAGCAGACATGCAGAAGCAAGTTAGAGAAGAAAGGAGTGATCATTACCTGATATAAATTTGGGTCCAGATGCTACTGTATCTTAAATAATATATACATCTAGATAAAGATTTTTTTGTTTGAAGACTTAATTGTTAAGAATCCCAAAAATGGCAGATCGACTGTATTATAAATGAAATAAATCACAATCTTCTTGTCTTCACTTACAAGAAGTTTTTAAATTCTCCTTAAGCAAAAATGTCAAGACTTTTAGACTAAAAGCAACACTTTACATGACACAACATCTATACAATTTTAAGTAATTTTCTGCCAAACCATACTGGAAATGTTGGGGATGAGGGCTTAATAGATTAAAAATTAAAATATTTAAAAAGAGTTACATTGTAGCCACCTTTAGCATCTGATCTTTACAGTCTTTGAACATGAACTTCATGTGTCATATTATTTCTGAAGCTTCTGAAACTGTTAGGACTGGTAGAAAACTTTGAGTTTGATAAATAAGGCTAGTTTAAGTAAAATGTACATATATTAGAATTAACAAAAATTTCTATTGTATAACAAAATGCACATAAGGAAATCTACACTATGTTCGGTCTACTGAAGAATAGTAGCATTCACTTATGTCTCCAAGCTGTTATTTTCAAAAATTTTTATCAGAATGCTGAAAGCATTAAATAATCATCTTGAAAGGGATATTTTAAAAATATAGCAAACTCTAGGAACTCAGAACCATGTAACTCCTCTGGGTTACTGAAGCCTCCTTCATTTATATACATGATCTCAAGAGAGACAGAGAAATAAGAAGATAAACGGATAGGTGAAATGCTTGTCTATGTAATTTCCAACTGAAGAGCAGCTGAAGCTTGACACAGCATGGCTTAAAGGCTAATAAGAAATATCTATTTTTTAATGGATCAAAGTCAGACCAAGTACTCTTGATGGCCAAGACATTTAAAATTGTTGTTGCAGTATTACAAAACTTAAGACACCACTTAATAGTGATAAAAGGAAACACTTTTTACCAATATATCATTCACAATGTATGATTAAAAAGAAGGGCTTCTATAAGTCTCATGAACATAGCCTCATTTTCTCACAGAAACCTCCCTCATCAGTTCAAGATTAGTTGACTTGTGTTGCACTGTTTATTTCATCGCTCCTCATTACAATGCTTCATGCAGCCAGTATATTAGTGCAGGACACTACTATAATATATTGTTTAATAACAGGTGTACTGAAGGTTTAATGTATTCCCAGGTTACCAGAAAAAAGTTTAACCACAGATTCTAGCTTCTCACTTTGTAATTCTTATCAACTTTATTCATCAACTATAAGTACCAAGGTGGGACATCATTCCACATCAATACACTAAGTGTAGGTTACTACAGGTGTGGTATAGCTCAGACTCCCGTAGTAGCCCATGTAGGTTTAGTCAGTGCACTCAGGGGGGCAGAGAGAGCAAGGCAGCCTACCAGCCTCTGCTTCTCAGTGGGCTGCAGTGCTCTCTAGCTTCCACTCATTAGTCCCACAAACTGTGATGGGAGTTCAGGTACCAACATTTAGATGACCACTGGCATAGCAAATGACTTAATCTGGACCTGAGCTACCTGAGTATCTACAATATATTCATTGGCATAAATTTCAAGTTCACAACATCAATTTTTTCTACAATAGCCTTTAATTAAACAAACATTTGTAACACAGGTGGTGAACATTTTATCCAAGAAGAGAAAAAAAAAATTTTGATGTTGTCCACATCTAACACTTACAACTTAGTAAGGCAGAATTAGGTCTTCACACAACAAAACTAACCCAACAAATTGATTTTACACATGCAAGAAGCCCAGCTGAGGAGAAAGGGTATGGATTTTGCATGAATAAGCCAATTGCAGATCAAGGCATCTGGACCCCTACTTTGAGAAGATTTCTATCAACTTTCACAAAAATAGCAAGCTCCAATTCTTTAAAATAGTCCTTCCTGCCAGACGTTTCTTTCTTCCACCATGTGGTTCTATGTTTTCACTCCTCAATGGCTCCAGAAAATTCCTAATGCTCAAAATGTGGCAGATCAGAAACACTGGTATTGCTTCAAACTCAAACTAACAATCATGAGTGTGACAGTCTGATCCCTTAAAACATGAATCCACTTTTCATCATTTACAGTTTATCGCATATAAATATTTTTACATACATTTATATGTTTAAAGGTCTCATTTCACATGGTACTGTTCTGCTGAAAGTTAATAATTAAATCAGCATAATCGATTTAAAACAAATTTCTAGAAATGGGATTAATTAAAAAAAATCACTCTTTTTCCTCAAGAAAATGCTAGCACTGGCTTGGTATTTTGGCTAGTTCTACTGTATTAGCCAGCATTTGTATTATAAAGAATAAAATAAAATGGTTTATTAAATCCAATCTGGAAAAAAACTTATTGTGGGGAAACATGTATGCTATTAGCATGTTTATATTTCTACATAGCTTGAAAACATGCTGCAAACGCGCAACAGATGGTCTGACGTTATTTGACGTTTTGCTTTTTTTAACCGATCTTCCGCCCCATCCTCTCTAAAAAAGACAGCTTAGCTGGGATTTGCCTGCAATTTATCAGTGAATTTAGACTGGATTTGTCACAGTCATAACAGCAGCTGCCTTGGCCCATCACCATGCCTCGGTCACTTACTTCCAAAACCATTATGCAAGCCCTACACCTCACAGTATTAAAACCTAAACGTCATACTTCAAATGGTAAGAATATTTTAGTCAGATTTACTTATGTGGTTACAAAAAACAGAAAGTTATTCTTAATTAATATTTAAAAGCTACAAATTATCACTGAAACATTTTTTGCCTCTGGCTAATAATTCTATTGCAAAAACCTGTGATATATTATGCACATGGTAAACGGTACTGCTTCAGACACCATATTTTAATGAACTGTTAGCCCATATATTAAAGGAACTATTGGGAACAAGAATTACTAAAAGAGCATTATTTATTGTTTCTAAGAGAAGAAAGTGAGAGCAAAGAGACCATTATTTCTAGAAGTGATTCAGCATACTATTTGCTAAAGTTTACATATAGATTTTATATAAAAGTATACAGAAGTCCTAGAAGAAATGTGTGAACTACATACTCTCAATGAAGCCTCCAGTCAGCTTAATAGTACTGATCTCACATTCAGACTATGCCTGTACTTGCACTGATGAAGCTCAAAGACAGACCATACCGTTGCACTTGTTGGATCCTGGAATGCTCTAGCTGCACCATCCTGCTGGGGCTCACGTGAAGCAGCAGAGTGGTTCAATCCTGACAGGTTTGAGGGTCCAGAATCTGACTTCCTGGATGTATTGACTTCTGCCTACAAGGAGTACATATGTATGCTTCAGAGAGAGATCAAAATTGCTCCAGAAAGATTTAGCTTATTTTAGAATGTGTATTTTAATGTATGGAGAACACAAGAATGACTGAAATGTAATAATCAAGTATGCCAACTGCATTTCAGTTACATACCACCAGGTTTAAGAAATTCTCATTCTTTAGAAATAAGGCTACAGATGTACAAACATCAGTTTAGAAAACAATTTTGTTTGCACATAACAACAGGTATAACATTCAAAAAATGCACAGATGTATAGAGCAAAAAACAAAATTCTTTAGAAAATCCAGGACAATATTATGCCAGAAATAACACTATTTTTAAAAACTTTTGTTTCTCATGTCCTTACATGTATGCTGACTACTGCTGTTACAAGTGAACTAATATAGCCTGTTTCTTAGCAAGTCTAACTAGCCTCCAGTAAGTGCTAATTTAATGTGGCTATACTGGTTCCACTACCAAAGCTGCCTCACAGCCAGAGTGGGGCTATATGCATGGCACTACACTGTGTCAAGCATGTGTACCTCAGTTCCAGTATTTAAATTTCAGCACAAGCAGAGCAAAAATAAAAATACAAGTCTTAACAATATTGCTTTTGTACACAATTATAAAATGTATAATAAGCATCAATTCCCAGAATTTAGGTTTCATGTTTTTGGAGATTTCGGACAAGAGATCAGTAGTCACATACAGAGACCGTGAACAAACCTCTTGTTTAGTCAGATTTACTTATGTGGTTACTATGCCTGCAACAATCCCTTGGGGATGGAGAAGGACATAACATCATAGTCCTGAACTGAAACACTCTAATTTATATATTTTTTTTTAAAAAAAAAAGCCATGACTAGATCAATTTTTATCAGCAAGTCATCTCCCACGTCATGTGTCTAGATGTCAATTTATTATAAAGATGACAATTCCAAATCTAATACCTGTCATGAAATGCAGATATAAGTAGTGGTAGTAGTAGTAAGAAATACAAACAGTAAGTAGTAAGAAACCAACCAGTTATGGTGATAACAAGCTGGTAAGATCATAAGATAATAATATTCTGTCATGATACTATTCTGTGTGATGAAATTAAATTCCATTTCTTGATGTATATTATCTCATTATCTCAGCAGAATTTGAAAAATATGTCACTGAAAGAACGTGAAGGTTAATTTACGGTTTAAAAAGGCTTAGAATCTGACAACGTTGCTTCCTTTTTGCACTTGACTATTATGAACTCTGATATTAGACAGGACGAGTTATGACTCAAATATGGACCAGCAAAAAAACAACACAAGATTAATTTAGGCTGGAATGCACCCCTAGATGTCACCTGGTCCAACTCCCTCCTCAAAGTAGAGTCACATTCCATCAAGTTTTGAGCATTATCAAAGCTGGACATTCCACAGCCTGCTCCAGCATTTGATAACTTGCTGGGTGAAAATTCCTTTCCCATATCCAGTTGTAAATTCCTTCCCTGGAATCTGTGACCACTGCTTTTCATACTTCTGCTTTTTCTAAGAAGAGCTCATTTCATCTTTATTGTTAATCTCTATAAAGCACATACACTACAAAATGTACATTTATTTTAGTTTATGAAAGTACTAAGTCTAATATGCTAGACTGAAATCAGACTAACGTTCAAAACAATAAAGCACTTGAAAGTTCGCTAAACGAATATCTTTTTGTTGCCCAGTTTCTCTTTTCTCCAACCCCTATCTCTGCTTCCAGAGAAGCTGGAGAGAACACAGGTATCAAGGAAAGAAGATCAACATAGTTAAACGTAATAATGAGGGTGAGTGAAAAATTTTTTACTGCAAAATGTGCCTGTGATGGCAACATGTGGATAAACCATACTGTTTTACAGTAATGCATATGCATTCATATTTTCTTTTTTTCTTTAAGGTGGAATGGAATTTATGGTATATAGCACCTCAAATGCACAAAAAATTTGCAAGTCCTTGTGAAGATGATTAGAAAAATGTAATTATCTATTAAAACAGACAGGAACAAAGGTGAAGGGTCACAGAAGCAGGAAAACTGTAATGAGGAAATGTGGTTTGCTATTTTTTCTCCTGAATTTCATATTCCTTTCTCAATACCACACATGTTGGATTTCTTAAAAGTTACCCTTTTACTTAAGGCTGGTATGAAATAACTTCTCATAATCCCAGGATCGTCTAGAAGAAGTTAGGAAAACTCGTCTTTAAGGATCAAGATAATGCAGATTGCTTGTATGCTTGCTAGTAGAGAGGCTATCTCGAACAATACACTCAATCAGCAACCTGATGTTAAATCTCACCCCATAAATTGACATAAAATAGATCCAAAAGATTAAAAACTTTTGTACTCCTTGCTAGTAATTCATACTACTAGTTTACTACAAACACATAAATCTAATGCCTCAGCTTAACATCAGTCAAACAGAAAGTCAAGCAAAGCAGAGAAGCAAAAAGATTTAAAAAATACAATCCTTAAAATTTGATTTAAGGAAGGGACAAAAGGTGCAACCAGAGGACAGAACTGTTTTATCCGCTAAAAAAACCCACAATGGATTGTAAAAGGCTGTAGAAACCTGAGGCTTTTGTTCATTTTTCCCTTACTAAGTGCTTGTTCTTAAGAGGTGGAGTTAAGTATGTGGATATGTGAACACAACAATATTCTTTAGAGACTGATGTCCCTAAGTCTTTCAATTTAAAACAAAAAGGTATGAAATGTAAGTTGTGTTCTTTGGAAAAAAATATATACTCTGATATTTGTAGAATTTCTGTGATGAAGATTATCAGTTCTTAATTAAAAATTAATCCTACACTTTTTAACCCTTACATATTGTAAAAAAGCCACAAGCAGGCAGTCCATTGCTTCTCCAAATAGCTCATCTTTAAAATTCAGTTCCTGTATCTCCTCATCTTTGTAAAATATTTTGATATGTTTTTATCATAGGCGTTATGACATACAGACCCAACCATGTCAACATGTCTAGATGCGAGATCACATAGGAATACGCAGGTCCTGCAAAACTGACAGTAGTGCTCAGTAGAAGGCAATCTTTACTCTCACAGCACACACAAAAAATAGTCTTAGCAGAACACTGGTGAGAAAAGGGGACATACTAGCATCCCTGACCTTGTGAGGATATATTCTGCACTAAAGGTACACTGTCATAATGTATTTCACTGTAGTTCCCTGTCCTCATAAACAGCAGTCTTCCTTAGTGGCTGATTGAAGAGTTTAGTGGAAAACCCAGTGAAAATCAACACTGCATGCAAGACATGCAATTTTCTAAGGCACATATTTGGCTAAACAAACCTTACTTTCACCGAAACACAAGCTAGAGAACACATTTTGGGGTAACAGCAACTTCCATACCAGAGTTCAACTTTCAGTATCTTCCACTGCAGAGTAGTTCAAAAGAATTTGCAACCATTTTTCAGTAGGAATATGTTTTATTCCTTCCATAAGCCAAAAGGAGGAAAAAAAAAAATCACAAAGGAAAAAAAATTTAGGTTAGCTTTGCCCAAACTTTCCTAACACTTTTATGATAAGACTTAATTCTGAAGAACTTATTCAAGTTATTAGTGACTGAAAACATGGAAGTAAATGCAACATAGTTAGGCAGTTCTTACCACAGTGCTCACCACTGAGATTAAAACTAATCAATCGGTGCCTGAGATGCACAATTTATTAACTGGCACATTGCAAGAGATCCACTCCTCTTTCAGACATTTTCTCTTTCAGACTGTGCTAAAAAACCAGGTTTCTATGTAGTGACTGATAAGGGTTTATGAAACGGTGAATATTTCTGCAATTTACAAGTTTTTCCTCAATTTATTTTTTTTTTTAATTCCATACAACAGAGATAAAATTTTAAACGGTGACTTCACCTTGAAGCTAATTTGTCTGGCAAGTTCTTTAGCTTCCTTGTCTGCCTGGCTTGACCCGCTTCCGGATGTTAGTGGTAAGAGGGCTGTCTTCATAGATGTGCCGCACATTTCACAACAGAAGTCTTGTGACCTGGCCACAAATGACATAGCTCAGAATAGCACGTTCTCATAATGTTCTTGTGATTAAACAAACTAGTTGCAAAACAACCCACAGAAAGACAACTGGTGTCAAGACCAGTGGCTTAAAAGTACTTCCCCCTACCCCAAATCATACCATCTTGAAAAAATATGTTGAGAATTATCTATACTATGAATAAATATTCTTTCGTGTAATTTAGGAAAATATTAACAACTGACTTGCATGTTGCTATTATCTACACTTTGTTAATAATTTTCTACCATCTTAAAACTTACTTTATATCTGCAGCAAAATAAAACTGTAATTTATAAAGATCTATTATTACAAAAATTAAATTGGACCCAGAAGCTTGCACCTCAAATCCAGGAATTTCAGTTTCTGCAAGAGCATTACTTTTCCTGTCTGGCACACATAATTTGCCTATGGGGCACACTGCAGGCAGCTCTCCAAGCCCATGGGAAACCACACAGCTTTGATAGCACAGTATCAAAACCAACCCACTAAGCCATACCCCTCAGCAGGGTTTATTAGCTTGGACTCAGTGCCATGCCAACAGGAAAGTTGTAGCTTCTGACTGGCTCAGAGTACAGGCAGAATAAGCTCACATCTGCTTGTAAAATAAGGTACTAGTTACAATTTGAAATACAGTAACTTTGCTTCTAAAATAGGGAAATCAAGTACCTTCTTCTCCCCAGATGGGAAAAGGAGGAAGACCAAAAAAACCCCACAGGTGTAAGATTTCATTTAAGGATAATCACAGAATAGTTGAGGTTGGGAGGAACCTCTGGAGATCATTTAGTTCAGTCTCCTTGATAGTTCAGTTTGAGGAGTTCCATCTCCTCAAAGCAGGGTCAAGCAGAGCACATTGCTCAGGTCTATTTCCAGTCACATTTTTAATACTTCCAAGGATAAAGACTCCACCACCCCTCTGGGCAACCTGTGCTAGTTGTCTGACCATATTCACAGTAAAAAGTGTTTTCTTGCATTCAGACTGAACTTTATGGGTTTCAGTTCATGCCCATTGACATTTATCCTGTCACTGGATGACACTGAGAGTCTAGCTCTGTGTTCTTTACGCCCTCCTTTCAGATATTTGTACATGTGGATAAGATCCCCTGAGCCTGCTCTTCTCCAGGCTGAACACTCCCAGCTCTCTTAGCCTCTCCTTGTGTGAAACAGCCCCTCAACCACCTTTGTGGCACTGCACTGGATTTGCTCCAGTAAATCAGTATCTTTCTTGTAACCTGACCTGGACACAGCCCCAACCTGGCCCCAACACTCCAGATGCCTCACGAGTGCTAAGTGCAGAGAAAGGATCACTTCCCTCTACCTTCTGGCAATGTTCTTCCTAAGGCAGCCCAGGAAACCATTAGACTTCTTTGCTGCAAGGGCACGTTGATGCCTCATGATCATCTTGGTGTCCACCAGGACCCCCAGGTCGTCCCCTTCCAAGCTCCTTTCTAGTTGGTCAGCTGGCATTATTCATCCCCAAGGGCAGGACTTTGCTTTTCTCTTTGCTGAACTTGATGAGATTCCTCCAGTCCACTGAGGTTCCTCTGGATGGCAGCACAAGCTTCTGGTGTATCAGCTACTCCTCTGTTTTGTTTCACCTGCAAACTTGCTGAGAGTGCACTCTGCCCCATCATCCAGGTCATTAATGACAGGGGATAGCACTGGCCCCAGTACTGACCCCTGGAGTACACCACTAGTGACTGGTCTGCAGCTGGACTTTGTGCTGCTTACCACAATCCTTTCAGCCAGGCAGCAAAGCCAGTTCTTAATCCACCTTACTATTCCCACTTATCTAGGCTGTACTTCATGAGTTTCTCTAAGAGGATGGTAAAGAAGACAGCGCCAAAAGCCTTGCTAAAGTCAAGATAAACGACATCCACTGCTTTCCCCTTGTCTACTAAGCTAATCACTTCATCACAGTCACAAATCGAATTTCAAGTTAATTTTCCAAAACTCATTCCAAAGCAGCTGCCTCAGAATTTTCTGTTGTTGTTTCATTATCATTATTTACTTAAGGGAAATATTGCATCATTGTTTTGTTTGTTTTCTCCCCCACTTACACTTACTATCAATTCCATCATACTAATTTTTCCTCCACGCTGCAATTATGACTGTATCACAATGTTTATCACATTTCTAAGCCTGAATTTCAGACAAACCTCTAATTTGACCACACAATGCTGGAAGGAACACAGTCCTCTCAAAGTATGTTGTTTGACCATAAGTTCTCAGTTTGCACAACGTTCAGGAAAAAATAAATATATACAATGCACAGAACTTTTTTTATATTTGAAATAAATTCAGGAGAACAGACCAAAATGACTCACTTTCTATTCAAATGCCTTACCCTAAAAGAGAGTGCATATATATGTACCTACAGTAACAAACTTCGTACTTACTTTTTTGCAAGAGCTCTTCTCTCTTCTGGTGTGTAATCTAGAGATCCTATTGCTCCTTCACCTTTGGTTGGCATAAATCCAATAATGGCTAGTAAAGCTGTTCTTACTAAAATGGGAAAACAGAGATACAAACAAAGTTGCAGAAACAACTCTTATTTCATCTCACTCTATACTCAGTATAGAGAAGTTGCAGTTCTGCCTGCAAAACTTTATTTTGTCCAAAGGAGTAGTCTGAATTTCATACAAGAAGCACTGTTTTTTTGGTACACAGCAAGGCTTCTTCATTTTTTAAACTTAACATTATAAATGAAAGATATGGCCTAATTCTTCCATCAGCCAACACGGAGAAGAAAAGAGAAGTTGTCACAAAAATGTTACATCAATATAAAGATTAGAATTCCAGACTTTAAAAACAGGTTTTGAAGAAAAAAAAAAAAGGCAGATTAACATATAAATGGGGGGAAAGAAGGGGAGGATTCATAGAGCATTTTTCTTTTTGTATGTGTTTTCCATTAGACATGAATTCTGCAACTCAGTGCATAGAAGCTCAGTGGTTTTCTTTTATGCGATGTACTGCAGAATTTTTCCTTCTATGTGATCGTGCTGGGGAAAGAGCTTACTTAAATATTAATAACAGCTCATAACAGAATTGTCATCTCAAACATCTCTTTTGACAATATCTATCCTTCAATCTTGTTTTACACAGTCATGAAATTTAAGAATTCAAGACACTTTGCCAGTAGATCTGATAAACTGATATCACAGGAAGATGAGTAACACAAAATAGAGACAGGATATTTACACTTCCTACTTAGAAAACAGTATTTTCTAATCTTTTAAAAAATGTAAGAGAACTTACAAAAGTTGAAGAGTGGCCTGCTAGAAAATTTCTAAGATCTTATCAACATATGTTAAAAGTGCAACAGATATCCAAAGAAATAACTGATGTACTATACTCTGAAAAGCTAAAATTATACAAACATGGAAAAATATTGCCTCACATGAATTGTGCCAACTCTCGTTTTCTGTGATAATGAAACTTTAAAAAAAAAGGTAGAAAACATTCAGTTATTCTGGACTCAGACCATGTTGTCGTTACTCTTGAGTGTTCAGATGTACAGCATCAGAATTAAAAGCTGACCGCTCTTCCCTCTATCAATATTCAAGCTGATTTTAGTGATTATACAAAAATGGGGTTAAGCAGAAGGATTTACAGTCTTTTCCTAAGAACAATTTAAAAAAGAAGAAAACCATGCCCAAAGAATCTTCAGTAGTCTGAGAATTCTTAATGCTTTTGCATCCAAACAAATAAGAACCTATGATCACTCCTCTGTTTCTCAATCCTTTCACTCCACATTTACTTAGTATCATTCCCAAATCCTCCTACATCGCTCTTTCATGACTTTACATTTCTCAAATTATCCCATACTTTTACTCCCTCAAAACCTGTCTCCTTTTCCACTATAAACATTAATTGTGAATTTTTTTCTGTTTAAAGGTCTTGTTGCTTGATGGGGGTAACATTTTCCAAATTATTGTTACTTACTACTCCATGAAGGCTGCCATGTTTCAGGATGGTGCCCTGAGATGCTTAAACAAATTTTCTTCCCCACTTCAAACCTGCCATTGGCCTTCAAAGGAAGAAGGAGGATATAATAAAACATGCTAGAAGTTAACTCTTGGGTTTTGGTACAAGTTGTAAAAATCATCATCAAATAAATCTATATGCAAACAATATTTGATAACTATATTACTGCCAATCTCACAAAATTGGCACTCTGCCTTCTGAACAAAGTTGTCTGCCATCTGCCTCTATTCATGCATGATGAAACCCTTAACTGATACCTCACATGTCCCAGTGTGACACGGTGGCTTGCCTGTTGCTCCTGTAACCCACAGACCACATGTAGAGAGTCTGACAAGCTATAGCTTTTCAGCTGTATGGGGGGCTTTGCCTCAAACCACAGGTCTGCCTTTCTACATGTGACCAATGTCTCCAACAGAGACTAAGAGGGCCCATGGAGAGAACAGAAGGTTAGAAAGAACATCAGCAATGTGATTACTCCTGGAGAAAACTTCCAGTTGTTAGGTGCAAAGCTTCATGTAATTACAGAATACCAAAGTCAACTGGAAGACTTTTGGTCTTAAACTGGCAGCATTAACTGTACTATGCCACACTTCTTACAAAAATAGCATTACCTTAAATGCCAAGAATCTCTCTCTAAGACACCTATGGTTAAACTGATCATGTAAAAATGAAAAACTAGCAAACATGCTTACCGTCAGCAAAATAATGCTGGGTGGTTTCATGGGATATTCAGGTGGTAGTACTATTCGCCCGTGATAAATCCCTCCATCGAAATCTGAATCTGGAGGGCCTCTAACAGTAAAGTGCCATTCAAAAAGATTATCCTAAAATGACCCCCAATAAAAGAAAGAAGAGTGTGTCAAAGAAGGAGACAACTAAACACCATTTTCTTGAGCAAGGACAAGCTAAAGAAACAGTGTACAGCAGAGGTTTTATTAAGTCAAAATCAAATGGAAAGTAGGACAACCAACACAGTACTAAGATTCTGGTTAAAAGGATAAAATATTGTAGCTTTCTGGTAATTTTCTTATACAATGGCTTTGTTGAAACCCTCAAATTCATTATTCAAGTTCTTCGCTCTAGTTGTATCAGTTATGACAAGAGGTTTATTACCCAACAGATAGAAAACTGAGTCAACTAAGGGAAAACTGGGTCTTTGCCCCAGCGAATACTAATTCCTGGAGAAACAAGGGGAGACCCATCCCAAGGAAGAATATTAATGACAGGCTCCCCAAAGCCCCTTTCATGCCCAAGTCACAGGGATCTGACACACACCAGAGAATTTCTATCCTCTTTTGCCTCTCCATAAACAATTTTGAAATAGCTACTGTGCCTTACTGCACAACAGGTACACTTTGAAATTTGGAATATTATTGTCATTGGATATAAAAATAACTTCTCTTTAAGCATTATTTCTTTGGGGTTCTGTGTTTGGCTTTCTGTATCAGATCTCATGATGCCCACAACTTTCTGAATATGTACAAGCAGAACAACTCCTATTGTTAGGACAGGAAGCCAAATGAGGCTTGCTGTCAGTGAACAAGATCTCTCAACTAATGCCAAACACTGGCATCACAGGGCTGCGACTGACCACCTAGTTATAATTTTTTCAAGGATGGGAGGTATGTCAACATTTCCAGCATTTCCTTTCACCCACCACTGTTCTCTTCCCAGCGAGTCACTGCTCTAACCCCAAAATAAGACTTTCATGTAAATTACAATAATTAATTAAATCTTACATTTCATCACAGGAAGGAGAAACACAAGGTACAGACAAAAACTAGTCAATAATAATGTATATGTTATTGCACCTAGGAACATGCTATTTTCTCTAAGCATGTTAAGTATGCTATGCATTTCTGTGAACAGCTAAATCAAACCCACAGAACATTGCCTTCTGCAAAATCAGAAGGGGTTTCTGTTTAAGCTTCTAACCACCAGAACTTCCCTATCCTCTCAGCCCAAAAACTCAACTGGGTGTTTAGAAGACTTCAAGAAGCTACTATTGAAGTGAAATCTAAGCATTCTCACTTACAATGCATCCAGAACTGTACTCATTTTTTTTTATGCAAAATAGTGAATCCTCATAGATCACTGAGGCTTAAGTTGCTGAGCAACTCAGCAACTGAGCCAGATGTCAGGTTTGGGTGTGAAAAGCTTAACTTAAACATAATGCATTTATGTAGTCTAAGGAAGGAGGAGGGGGAATAAACATATTATATCTGTCTGAAAAAATTACTCTTGTGCAACATAAAACTGATATTATGTACCTTCATTAACAACCTGGAACTACAATACCATTAAAGTGGAATTCTGCTGTTGATTTCCATCATAGGAAAAAAAAGAACTGAATCAATTTTAAAAGGTCTGCTAGTATCTAAATATGCATATTTTAAATACATATGTGTACAGAGAACTTAAGAGTATATATTAATAATACAGTGCCTAATTACAAGCTCTTGCAAACATGTATAGAAACAAACCTCCAAAGGCTGTGCATGATAATGATCTGTAGGATCCTTCAGTTCTGCAGCCTCTTTCATCAAACGTTTGACAGCTGAAAAAGAGAAAGTGTAAGTCATGAAAATGAAGAAAAAAATTAATACCCACTGCATACAAAAATACGTTAACACTTCTTGAAGAGCTCCTTTCAGCTAACTAATTTTTTCACCACATCCCAGCTTCTTCACTGGAGCTAATAATCCAAGACACAATATAAATTACACTGAATAAATCTTATGAGTTATACAAGCACAAATTTATGAAAATTATGGTGCATGGTCACAGAATTTCTCAACACTGAACACTGGGACTAAAGTAGTTTTACATTATTAACTGCACCAAAGACATGAGGAAAAACACAGGTGTCAGTGGAGTTTCAGACTTAAGTACAAGATGTACAAGACCAATAACCTCAATATTTTATCATAAAGGACATCATGTGCATCTTTAAACAACTGCTGAAAAGCTTTATCCTACCACCTCTCGTGACTTATTACATGACTACTCCCTTAATTATTCCAAAGGAGGTCACATTAAGATTTGAGAGAAACCAACACATCAGTAATACAGGCAGATGACGATTTGTACAAGATTTTAAAATGCTTATGCCCAGCCAGAAAAATTTATTCAGGGCCTTTATAATCTGAACCGGAGTGTGGACACACAGGTATTTTTCTGTCCTAAATTCGGGATAGTCTTTAGTTACCCTTTGACCCCAGAACCACCATCATCATCTGTATCTTCTGCATCTCCTTTTTCCTTCCCCTTTAGTAAGTCCTATTACATCATTTGTCCTGCCAGGTACCCTCATGTGCATCATGCATTAATGTCTAATAAAGAGCTAAACATAACTACAGACAAGAGATTTGAGGATGCTGCCTTATGAATAAGGTTAGGTAGAAAGTTCTTACTCCCTCCTACTTACTGGAAAAAGTGCAAATACCAGTTACCTCTTTAAGAAACTACCTAGGGGCAGGATCCATTAATCCATCCTCCACATTCAGTTCAAGCTATGGATGTCCCTTCCACTCATGTAATTACCTAACTACAAAGGAGAAACACTGCCCAAATTCCCTTATGGTGTAAGCATAAAGATATGGTGAAAATGAACTGTAGTTATTCGATTTACAAAGACTGGCATCACCAGCTGACTGTAGGCTGTGTAGCATGCTCAGACTCCAGGGCTTTACTTATTTCATGATGCTGTGAGGGAAGCTACTCTAACCTTCCTGCAGAGGAATTTTGATTTCAATCTACTGTGAAAAGTTCTTTTCCTCCTTCGCACTTCCTGACAGCTATAAACAACAGCCCAAAGTTTGAGGATTTCACTTCTTACAACCCAAAAAGCAAACAGACTATGCGGAAATTTGCTGCTGCCAGTTGTCCCAATTCTGTGCTGCTGCCTGGGGGAGGTGTCAATTAAACACCCTGCAAAGCCCACGAGGTCACGTCACAGGCAGCTGCATCAGAGCTCCACTGAAAAACAGTTTGACTCTTTCATCTGGATTAAGGTTTGCCATTTCATTATTGAGGAATAATAAGAAAACCTGCCCGGACCAGAAGCGGCTTCAGACCCAGCACTGCTTCACAGACAACAAGCCTGCACACTTGCCTTCAGAAGAGTGGCACACATCAGGATGAGCTAACTCAGGAGTGAACACTCCACGAAGCAAAAGGGTAACCATAAGCAAACTGAAAACATATATAACGAAGCCTAATGAAGAAAGAATAGTCATGGACAAGGCAGACAACTCTTGTTACTGAGATTTCCCAGATGAGGGACCAAGACAGAAAAGAAATACAGGCCAACCTGTAGCAGCATCATATGCAGTTACCCATGTTAACTGAGGGAAAGCTAACAATTAGAGCAAAAAACAAAAATTCAAGACCATTCTACAAAAGTCTACTGGCACTCAGAGAAAGTTTTGTACCCAGCCTGTAAGTGGGTGCAGGATCTTTGGCAGCGCACATTGGCACTTTGGGTTTGTCCCAAAAGGAACAGTCTTTTTACCGCTTCAACTCCAAGGCTGTCCCCTGGAGGACTGAGTGCCAGCAGCTGGCAGGCAGGAACAAAGAAACCAAGGGTTTGCACTGAGAAATAAGAGAGACAGCAGCCAGGTAGGGACAACAAGCAGGTGGGCTCCTGTTAAGTAGAATTTAAAATGGAAGCAGTTTAAAGCATGGTGGGTTTTAACATATTTTTTTGTATTTAATTAACAGTGACAGTGATACTGTATGTATTTTTTCATAGTACTAGTTTATTATCAAGAAGCCAGATTATAGGTATTTTAGGAAGCCAGCATAAAATACACTGAAAGCATATGAAATATTATTCCACTCTTGGAGCACGAAATACAGCAAAATATATAATTTAGCTTTTGTATACAGATAATTTGCTTATACGAAGTTTTCAGTATTAAGCAACCTAGGATATCTTAAGAAAAAGAAGCACATGTCTATGAAGAAAGGCTGAGAAAAGGAAGCACATATATACAAAGAAAAGCTGAGAGTTGGGGTTGTACAGCCTGGGGAAGAGAAGGGGCTTGTAACAAAGACTGAAAGAGACTTTACCAAGATCTGTAGTGACAGGACATAAGGAAACAATATTTTATGATGAGGGTGTTGAGGCACTGGAACATGTTGACCAGAGAAGCTGTGGCTGCCCCCGCCCTGGCAGTGTTCAAGGCCAGGCTGGACCGGGCTTTGAGCAATATGGTCTAGTAGAAGGTGTCCCTGCCCATGGCAGGGGGTTGGAACTAGATGGTCTTTGAAGGTCCCTCCCAACCCAAACCATTCTGTGGTTCTAATTTCACATTGCTGAAAAATGCCGACTGCCAAGAACAGCTTGGACCAATAAAGGTTCATTCTCAGACCATGCGATCCAGTGAAAAAAGCATTAAGTTGTTTCCTCTTTAAGCATAGCTGCAGTATTCATGAACAAAGTCCCTCAGTTGGCTAACAAAAATGTAGTAATTCACAAAGTCTGCCTGCAACAAGTACATGTCGTTCTTATCCAAACTTCATTAAAGAGTTTTGATGCAAAATATGGTATTTCAACCCACTTAAAATCACAATGAGTCATCTGAGCAAACATTTGGCAATGGCAATTCTGAAAAATGAGAAGGGTTTGGACCCGTTCAAAATAAAGAATTGCAAACTGTCAATAAAGGAAAAAAGTATCACTAATTCAGGAAAAAAAAAAAAATCCAGATCAAGACATTCACTTTGTCAAAGACAGGTTTTAGAGACAAAATGAATTATTTTTTAATGCGGTTATGACTGTCAGCATGAAAAATAACCATGCTCTCACAGGTACACTCATCAACACTTTATCATAACATTCACTGAAATTAAATACTGAAGAAATTAAGTTTCTGGGCTAACTCTAGACAGTGAGGGAGAGTTTCCGCCCTGGCAGGTGTGGAAGCTCTCCCCTGCTCTGGGGAGGAAAGAGTGGGAGCTAGGCACCAGAGGCTCTGCCTGATAACCTGCCTCTTGTATTACACTGAACTTACCAAATTTTTCTGAAAAACAAAACATGGAAGTTAAAACTCTAAGAATAAAATTTAAAATCAGCTTGCTTTAGGATTGAGTAGCAGCAGAATAACACAATTAATGAGCAACATTTATGTAATGTATGCATGTATGAATTTGTAGATATATTTCTGTCACAAACTGTGTCCTGGTCAAATCCTACTTCTTAATAATATTTACCTTAAACTGTCCTGAAATTTCTATTCAACACAACTGCTTCTCTTGGATGTATCTTGAAGTCACATTTAAGTACTGCTATCACACCTGACTAGACTACTCTGCACCTTAAGGCCCAGGAAACCCTTCTGTACACAGAAAATGCAAGTGATCAGTCTTCATAAACATCAATATTGCCGCTTAAATAGACAACAGGACTTGAACATGGGTGATGTTCTCTTAATAAAATATTTTGTCTTAATTTCAAAAAATATGTTATTGAGACAATAAAAATAGTCTTAAAGCAATCACATTTAGCTTTTAGAGAGCTCTGTTTTGTTAGCAGTTCTGCTGGTTTTGGCTGGGATAATTTTCTTCACGGTAGCTAGTATGAGGCTATGATTTGGACTTGTGCCAAAACCAGTGCTGATAACACCGGGGTGTTTTCCTTATTGCTGAGCAGCACTTACACAGAATCAAGGCTGCCTCTGCCTCTCACCCCACCCCACCAGCAAGTGGGTTGGGGGGTGCACAAGAAGTTGGGAGGGGACACAGCTGGGACAGCCGACCCCAAATGACCCAAGGGATATACCAAACCATATGGCATCATGCTCAGCATAGAAAGCTGGGGGAAGGAGAAAGGGAAGGGGTAACATTGAGAATGATGGCATTTGCATTCCCAAGTAACTGTTACATGTGATGGAGCCCTGCCTGCCAGTGGGAAGTGGTGAATTAATTCCTTGTTCTGCTTTGCCTGTACGCATGACTTTTGCTTTACCTATTAAACTGCTATTATCTCAACCCACAAGTTTTCTCACTTTTACTCTTCTGATTCTCTCCCTCATCCCACTGCAGGGGAGTGAGCGAGCAGCTGTGAGGTGCTTAGTGGCTGTCTAGGGTCACAGCACAACAGTCATTTTTGATGCCCAATGCAGGACTCAAAGGGGTCGAGATAACGACAGGTTTGACTGGAATGTGATGAATTGAATTTGCAGCCATTATTGCTGTGTAGCTATTAATTGGCAGGCTCCTGTGCTTGACACGGGACTTGCTTGCCTTAGTACATATTAGAGTCCAGTGCTTGTCTGCGGCTGCCTTTTGCTTTCACTCTTGCTGTAGTGCTGTGCTGCTGATCATCTCACTCTGCTGTGCCTGGGATTGTTTTGATAACAGAAAGAGCGATGTGCCTGGGCTGGCAGAGGGCTGGGGCATCACTGCTGTTTGTGTGCTGCTGCACTGGGCAGACTGGAACTCCAGTGTGAACTTGAGTCAAAGGGACTGTGACCTGTGGATGAGTCCACGTGGGAGCAAGACATCCTGAAGCATCTGTGGCCATGGATAAATTCACACTAGAGCAGGTACATC